ATCCTGCCTCCAAAATCCTCCCGGGGAGGGGGTGAGAGCTGGGTGCACCCACGACACAGGGCTGGGCTTTGGACCCACCAGTCCCGGCCCTGCTCGAGCTGAGGATTTGGGGGACGAGGGGCTTTGGGGCACTCAAAAGTGCCCCAAAAATGGGGGCAGAGAGAGAAAACCCCAGGGAGAGACATCCCAAAGGTGCCAGATGCCAGGGTGACATGGGGGAACCGAGGCCGGGAGGAAGCGATGCACCAACCCGGTGCATTTCCAGTGTCTCGGCGATGCCAAATTCCCACCCCAGCTGCGGGGTGTCCCCCACGGCAGAGCCCCGACACCCACCTCCACCCGGGTGGGGTTTCTCCATGCTCTCCCCAGGAACCAGAGATGCTTCCACCTCCTTTTTGCCGAGACCGTCGCTTATAAGGACTTGTGTCTCACTTGTTTATCGGAGGGGAGCATAAAAGGAACAGACTCACAAATGGGATGTTGCCTCCCAAGCATCCCCGCATACATTTTTCTTACAATAATTAACCGTGCTGGGTCCTACCATCAGCCCAAGGTCAATTTAATGAAATAAAACACCTTATATGGCCATATGGCTAACACACCATCATTTAGCCTATTTAGGGTCTTTGTTTAGAGAGGATCCGCCTCTGAGGTTTCATGGGCTCGCTGGTATTTATACCAAAGGCACATCGGGACTCGGTCCCAGAGGAAAGGAGCTCTTGCGTCCGCGGTGAGTACTGCCCAGCCCTGGTTTCCCTTTTGCTTGCAGGAGAGTGGGAAGGAAAAACACCCCGGGGGGAGTTCGGGATGCCCCAGAGCTTACGGGGCGGCCCCGGCTCGCTTCGCGTGGCACGGGGAGGGTGCCAACCCCGGCACGACCCTGCAGCCGGGGGCTTCCGGGGGCAACGAGAGTTGGGCTGCGGCCAAAGCAGGTCGTGCTCTTCCAGAAATCCCTGTGATTTTGGTTTTTTTCTTTTTGGGCTCCTGCGAGGTTTTTGCCTGCTTCCCTCCGGATTCGGGAGCGCATCTGCTAGCAGAGGGCTATTTTTTTCCCATTTTTGGGAAAGGACGCGATGGCAGAGTGGCAAGGGGCTGCCGAGACAGGACTGGACGAGAGGGACGCCTGCCTTCCCCCTGCCTGT